TCCAAATCCTTCCAGGAGACGCGCACCTTGCTGGTCACAGACTGTGCGCTGAAACTGCCGCAGTCTCCGCCAAAGGCACCGGCGGGGACGGGCTTCGTGTGCAGCAAACCCAGTCAGTGGACAACCTTTAACTGGGGATGGGTTTCCACACTAGAATCCGACAGGTGGAGAAAGGTTATACAACACTATATGCAACCTTCATTTTCCAAGGAAACTGAGGGGGTCAGAGTATAGCTGGATATAGTATAGACAAATGGAATGTTCGAGTGTCATGGGTTTGCTGCGCGTGAAGGTGATTTGCTGCGCATCAAGTGCTTTGTTTTTATCTACCCTGGCAGTTGTGCACCTTCCAAAGGGGTCATGCCGTCATGCGAAGCTTCTTCTGCGCCCAGCTCAGGGAACCGCACTTGTGGTCCATTTCACTTCTTTGGTCGTCTGGAGTCAGTTTTAAGTCTGACTAGTCGTGGCTGAACCTCTATGACCACACAGGCCACATGATCATCCAAATCCTAATGCTGCATCTGAAGGATTTCTCCGGACCATCTCCTCCCCTGCACCTACTTGTTTTGTTGCTGTTTTGGGAGGTGTGTCCTGTCGCTTCCCCATCCGTCTGATCATCTCAGAAAAGCGCCGTCAGAGATGGTTTGACCGTCGGCTGGACCTCGGAGACGGCCGAAGCGCTGGAGCGGTGTTGGGGAACAAAATGGTTTTCCAAGGTGGTTTTGGGGCCAGACATGACCAGATGTTGCCATGGCAGCATGTTCATCTCCGTTCCCATGCTAGTGGCTTTTTTTAGTGATGGTTCACCTGTATACTCCTTTTTTAGGGAGATGGCATGATGGGTTTCTGCAAATGGACTGGTGAGAAGAAGGAAACGGTTCAAAACAGTTCAAACCATATCAAACCCGAACTACGTTCTTCCAGGCAAACTGTAGCTATAGCATGCTATAGCTATATATGTATATATGTGTATAGCTTCTTATGAGCATGGGGGGGTCAGTTCGCACCGCTTCAGTCGGAGGTCTTGGAATCCTATGGCTACGATGGCACGCCGGGGCCCATCTCCTTGGAGCAATGGAGGCGCGCCACGCGCAGCGATGGGGACGGGGCCGTAGACGGGAGAAAGCGGAGTGACTGGGGCCAGTCACTGGGCTCCAGTGGGCTTTTAGAAGATGATTGATTGATAGCATCAATGAGTTAGTTCCAGGGGCGCGCTTGGCACGATGAAATCTGCGCAGATTCAATGAGCATTGGTTCATGGAGCCGGCAGATCTTCGATTGTGGAGCTTGGTTTCCTTGTAGGTTGCGCCTGAGAACTGAAAAAGATTTGCACAAGGGCTGATTTGATGACCTTGGAGAAAAAAGATCTACAGTATAAAAATAATCTACAATATATTGCTATATTCCTCATTATTCCTTCATATTATGCGTTTTTTGGGAATATTATCATCTCGATCAAAAGCACTTGGGAAGAACCGGCTTTAAGAGGATTCTCCCGGACCATCCCCGACCAGATATAAAGCTATCGCCTTTGACTTTGTCACGGGCCGAAACCAAGACGAGAAGGAGCGGACAGACGAGAACGAGACGTGGAGATGGCGATGGCGGGCTGATGGAGATGGCGTGAGAAGAAACACTCCCTAGGGTGGCCGTCAAGACTGCCCGTTCTACACCAGGTACTTCATGTCATTGAGTCATTGATTCACATCATATGCAGAAGACTACTGGGTTGGTGTGAGGAAAATGGTCGAACCCACGGGTCAATTCTCAGGATCCAATTTAGATGTGATCGTGTGCGGGGCGTGTATCGCTTAGTGACGCTCATGTCCGACTGCATGAACCTCAGGATCATACGCAAGGCATGCTCACTGTGTTCAGTGGGCTTAGCCAGCTGACTGGCCAAAATGGCAATGAAGCTGAGTGGCCACTCTGATGCCCTCTACCCATTGAAGATGTCTCCGTGGCTCCAGGACTTTGCAGTCTTGTCGAAGGCACCCGCCCTGGTGAACCCCTTGCTACTCGGATGCGGCAGTGGGTTTGGGAGCGAGGGCTGCCACCTTGATGGTCAGTCACATACATGTCCATGGTGTCGTGCTTCAGTCAAGCCTCATGTGGATGTTACAAGATTGAGAGTTTACTTTCATTGTGGAAATGCTGCATTAATCCCCCACCTAGCTTCAACTATTGACAAGATGCTTCTTGGAATGCTTCAACCTGCTTCTTGTTAGCATGTTACGAACCAATTGTGGAAGCTGATTGTGGAAGCTCATGGAGTTGCTGTCTATCCCCCACTGTGCCACCTGAAGCACCAGCGTCATGTGGTCAATCTCACGGGTCCCACGGAGGCTCCGCTTCATCGTCTACCGGCGTTGCCCACAGCAAGCGGCCGTTGGGAGTCTCAAGGGAAGTAGAGATGAAGAGGAGTACCACCAAACTACATGCAATAAAAGGGACACAGACATGAAAGTCAGTTAATTAGGCATACCTTATTGCATCCTATAGTTTAGGAACTAGAATCCCCTTTTTTCTGATATGAACATCGATTTACCTGATTGGACCACCGGTGCGGTTCTTCCGAGCAGCAATCAGGTCCATTCCATGTCTAGCGATGAACCGGCTCCTTGCCCAGCGCACCGCCGCGGGACCGGCCATGACCCACCGAGGCGTGGGTGAAGTCCGTCGCCGCGTGGCCCTTCCAACGGATCGTGCCAGCTCACCTCCAGGACGGGTGCCGCCGGTCGCCGGCTCGGTGCTCCGGGAACCGATCTGGGACCAAAGGCGAAGCGAAAAGGGTTGGGTCGAAGGGTTGGGCGGCTTTCTCTTCGGATGGACTTGGTTTGCGGATCATTCAGGTTCCACCATACCGAAGACACGCAGCATTGAGCACCACTGTTGAGCACCATTCCCGCCCATTCCGACAGCAGACACAGCTGTTCCATTCCGACCAGTTGGCATGGAACACCCAGTCAGTTGGAGTTCGCGGAAGAGCTGTATATCCCGCCCCACAGGGCCCGGCATGCGGGAACACCGTCTTTGTTTGTGGTTGTTGGCTCCGTTGACTCGATTCATCCTTGGTTGGCTGTCAGTTTCTATGTTCATCCAAGGATGATATTTACGTACTTACTGATCAGCATGGGCAAAGCTGGCAGATGAGATGCCAGGAAGTCATCAACGTGAGCTACAGATGGCGTACAGGATGCATGTCCAAATCAATACCAGAAAATACCAATATATCCAGACTTACTGTAATAAGAACGTATATATTGATATTTTATGAAGGAGTAGTACGTTCTTAATCACATATTTAGGTGCCATCATTGTTTCGGACCGTTCGCATCGCGTCAGAAAAAGCCGTGGGCCATTTTTTAGGCGCCATTTGATTGCAATCCGAAGCAGTTCCTGGAGGCTGCCGGGGCGAGATTGATGGATTTAGCCACATAGACGACTGAACACTGGCATGGCTAATTAGTAGGGGTGTTGTATTCATAACCTTTGCAAAAGTGGTCGGTGTTCGCATTTCAAGGTCCATGCTTGCATTGAGAAGCATTCAGATTCTCAAAAGAAGCGGAATTCAGGCCATGCCACCACCTGATCCCATTGTTGACGCATGTTGACGCCAGAGCTTGAAGACCTTGGCTTCTTTCAATAGCTTTTGACACCTCCCGTGTCCTCGGGTGTTAAGTGAACGGGTCCATGGGTGAGCCAGCGGTCGCGCCAGCGGTGCCATCGGTCGCCCTGCCTGCGCCCTGTGAGGCATTTGGCTTCCTGTTCGATCGGAAGAGCTCCTGGGAGCCAGAGGAGTCGAGCGAAGGGGCGTACGAAAGAGTGGTTGTGAACCGAATGGGGGGGGCGTCTAGCATGCTATAGCTATAGCTACATGCATACATGATATATGACTATAGTACCTAGTACGATCTAATACGCTGCCGTTGAATTCATGGCTTTTTGTGGCGCTACATGTTGCATGTCAGGGTCAGATATGTGTTTGTGTACTTTGGAGCTTCTGGGTGTGACGCTCCCTCACTCTCATTCAGTTGCCACCAGTCGCTGACTTCCAGGATGAGCAGCTGTCATTCCTGCGGTCCCTTCGGGAGATCGTGGGAGGCCTCCCTGGGTCTGATGCTCCGTGGCAGGCTTCGTAGGATGAAGCACCTCATTTGTAAACTCTTCACTTTCACAGCTCGAATCCTGGAATCCTGTTTCGCAAGCGTGCAGTCACTTATCCGAGATATCCGAGTCAAGGAAGTCATAATAGGCAAACACTCTGCGGAGTGACCAGAGTGAGCAATGCCACAGGAAGTCACTGTAACCCAAGGTGTGGGATCAAGGTGTGGGATTCAGCTTGTCAGTTGGCCATTGGTTGCACCAAATATATAGGTCAGATATGGTCAGATCATCAGTCGCAACCGCCGAGCGGCCGAGCGGTTGAACTGCGGGCGGTCAGGCCCCACCTTCTGACCGAGCCTTCCGACTGTGCCGGTGGGAGATGGATCAGCTTCAGGTGGGAGATGGACCAACTTAAGATGAAGAAGACTGATGATACTGATGATACTGGATGGCCTGAGAATAATCCTTCTTTCCCGGATCCACGGATCCACCGTACCTCAGAAGGTAATTGGACCCTCCTGGCGCCTACATAAATAGTCTCCAATCACCGTACCTCAGAAGGTATGTGGATCTATAGGGTTTATGAATCATGCGATTATCTCATCTATAGGATGTTCGCTTCCAACTGTGGTTCACTTGCAGTTATGTTTTCGTTCAAGTAACTGCAGGTAACTGTCGTGTTTGAGATGATTACAATTCACTTGTTGTTAAACAAAGGTGACCTCAGATGCCTTATGAAGTTCTGGTTGCCTATTGCTTGCTGGGATAGAATCTTTATGTTTGTCATTTAGCTTTGTCATCGCAATCAGGCTCAAGAGCACTTCTCAGTGTAGCTTGCCAACCCTTCCTTTCATATCACACTCGCCATCTATTGATGCGGTCCCAGATGGATCATGGCATCGGCGATGTTCCTCTCGTGTGCATTGCTGTGCAGCTTGCTGGCAGAAGCTCTCAGAGACAGCGCCTCTGAATCCCTGGCTTTAGACTCTGTCCCTGAGGGCCGAGCTGAAGGCAGACGATGCTGAGAAAATTCGTTAAGCAGCCTTGCAATTGAAGGTGAAAGTGGTACCCTGCCCCTTATCTATATATATATATGTATCCGCCCAGACTACTTCACCTGCTGCCATGCTGCAAGCCAGCTGAATGGCTAGAAGATTCCAGGTCACCCAAGCTAACAAATTTTTGACAGGACTGAAAGATTGAGGCAATGGATGTAGCCAACTGGATCTTGCCATGGCGAGTCTTGTACACCCAATTGGGGGCACCGCCAGGCGAGACGGAGCCGTGTGCGAAAGAAGCCAACGAGACGAAGCGGGTGCTGCGGGAACTCGGCTATTCAGGCTCCGGGCTTTGGGCTTGAGAAGAGGGGGGAAGGAAGCGAGGCTTTCAGGTGAAGACGGTCAATAGTATGATCCTGAGAAGGGAGAAGGGCAAAGCTTAGATTTGTACCCAAACCGGTCTCAATGGCAGCTCGTTTCCCTCTTGGATGTATCTCTCATCACTTCAGCAATGTTCCTGGATGTGCAAAAACTTCGGTGTGTCACAAAACGTTGAGTCCCTAAATGCCTTATTTATTGGGGTGTGACTGTCACGGGGCGATGAAGTCCGCGCAGCCCTCGAATCAGTGTCACAGTTGGCAGACACCTATTGTTCATGATTGTTCTTCTAGCGATTAATCTCCTAGCTGCGCTTTCCCAGGCGAGCCGCGCGAAAGCCAAGTCATTTGGTATGCAGACAACGGATGCGTCCACAGGATTGTGTGCTCCGAATGCGCTGGCCGCCTGCCAGAACGGATTCATTTGCAACACCTCGACACTGTGGCTGGCTGCATGTTGAGCAAAAGTATGCTCTAAATGTTGACGTTGCCCTTGATGTTCACAAAAGTTTTGTGCCTGAAGGCCACATCCAAAAAAGGTTGAGTTCTGAAAGGTCAGGGAATGTGAGCCTTATTTGCTCATAGGAGATCAGATGAGTCGGCTTAGTTCCAGCTATTTTTATGTTCCCTTCCAAAGCTACCACAGTAAGGTAGAGCTCACATCGCCGAAACTGACAGGCAACATCCGTGCATTTGAGGGCCTCAAGGAACTTCAAAGACTAAACTTGAAGAACACCCAAGTTGAAGGCGACATTGGAGTGTTTGCTTCAACCCCCAGGCTCCTGAACTTGTACCTGCAAGGCACCCAAGTCAAAGGTGACCTTGAAGTCTTTCGCAAGACCCCGGAGCTTGAGAGCTTGGGCCTGGAGCATACCCATGTGGTTGGTGATATCCAGGCCCTCGAAGCAACGACCAGGCTTACTCAGCTCTGGCTGCATACCACCAGCGTTTGGGGAAGTGTCAAAGCATTGAGGTCCACACCACGTCTCCAGTGGTTGTATTTGGGAAAGACGAAAGTGCATGGAGATCTTCGAGCGTTGGGGGATTTGCGTTCGCTTTTTGAGTTGGATCTGGCCCACACTGACTTGGTCGGTGATTTAGAGCAGTTGCCAAAAGCCCACCGCTTGGAGATCCTGAAGTTGCGCGGCACTCGGGTGAGTGGAAACCTGTCCACACTGCTTCGGTGGCCGCGTCTCAAGAAAGTGGACTTGTCCAGCACAGGGGTCAGGGGTGGCGTCACTGAAGCCTGGAGAGGCCGGCTTCGGATTCTCCAAGTCCTCAAGCTGGCCAAGTCCTCCGTTCGGTTTGTGCCAAGAGGGGATGAGTTGGCCAAGCTGAAGCAGGTCTGGGAAGATGAAGATCATGCCCTACTAAAGGAGTTGAAGAGCTTGGACGTGAGCGGCTGTCCCATGATCCAGTTCAAAGTCTAGTTTGGCCATTGTTTTTTGTCAATAAGAAGCCAGAAATTGAATGAAATTGACGCAATGGATCGCCTCAAGCCGGCCACTGAGGTCCCTTAAACTGCACCGTCAGCGACTTCCTCATGCCGCTGGCCATAGCCAGGATCACGACCATCAAAGCTGCGCGGGCCGGACTGCAAGGTCAAGTTCACGCGTTGACCCATGTCGGCGGGGTCACAATCTATGCCAGTGAAGATTTTTCTTACGAGTCTGATGACGAAACCTTCCCCCTTGCCAATTCCTTGTTGTTGTTGGACTTGACCGGCAACAATGTGACCCATATGCCACGGCTTCCTTTGGCCCCTGGTTCGCGCCGCTTTCTGCTGCGTGACATAGACAAGCTCCATTTGGGTCCCACTGTCCTATCGCAAGCACTGAAGGAAGGGACGATCCTGGACTTGTCTGGAACAACTGTGGTTAACAAGGATGAGGCCACGAGTCAAAATGCAAGCCACCAAAGACCATTGGGTCCAAATAGATGTAGCTTGATGATGCTAGATTTATAGATTGTTAGAAGCATTTACTTTAGGACCCAAAGCAGACCAAAACCCCTGAGGCGAAGCGACTACTCCAGGAAGATGTGCTGAAAATCACCGACGACCATGCCTTTCGGGACACTCACGGAGGCTTTGTGTGCAAAAACCTGCTCGGATTCAACATCTTCGTCACTCCCTCAAAGTTTCTCCCCGACCAGCTCTGCCAATGCATGGCAGGAAGGTATGGCAGAGGCGCCGCATGCCAAACATGTCCTGCCAACACGTTCAGCAAACGTTTGGGCCAAAGGGATTGCACCAAATGCCCCGCCAACAGCACAGCAAAACAAGGCTCCAGCAAGCCAGGCGATTGTCGATGTGCCTACGGAAGGCTGCACAACGGCACCTGCGGATGTGATCTTCACCATGCTTTACAGGGCAGTGACTGCATTCCATGCACGCGGCTTCGTTTGCAGTGCAACCAGACAGGAAGCGCTGCCGCAACAGCCCCGCCTGAAGTGCAGCATGCGCGCTTGGAAGCAAAGGCTGAAGTAGCACACAGGTGTCTCCCACCTAATGCATCCAGCCGCTGCCCTGGAAGCAACCAGTGTGGCCTCGGTTACAATGGCACCTTATGTTCAAGCTGCGCAGATGGATTTTGGGCCGCCAGAGGACTTTGCTGGTGACTTGGTTGCACTTTTGGGGTTCGGTTTGGGATGACTCTTTTTGCAGTCACGCTCTCCCTTGAACAGATTCAATATATATATATATATATGGTACCCCCCCTGAGATCCACCTTTGATGCTCTTCCAAAGACTTATACTTACACAAAATCAGACTTGGGATTTTCAAGTCTGAACAGCTTTCAGACTTGGGATGCAAGATTGCGATCCCTGGATTGAAGATTGAAGATCTCACAAAACTCTTGGCAGAATCACCATTCATTAAGATAGAAGCTACAAAATTTACAGAAGTTGGCTATGTTGGTAGAGATGTAGAGACTCTTTGCTAAAACTCTACAATCCAGATCCATGGGTTGAAGATTGAAGATGTGAGGGTTGAAGATTTCTGGCCAAGAGTTTTCTCACATCTTCAATCTTCAATCCATGGATCCGGATTGAAGTTTTTTAGCCAAGACGTTTTGTGAGATCTTCAATCTTCAATCCAGGGATCTGGATTGAAGACTTCCGCCCAAGAGTTTTTTCACGTCTTCCATATGCAATCCACGGATCCAATAGTTATGTGAAGTCTGGAACTGGGAAGAGTGATGTCACAGAATGAATAGGGACCTCAAGTCTGAGCACTGAATCTCAAGTCTGAAAACGGGTTCATTTGACAAAGGCAACTCATGAATGCATGCTTCGCTGCTTTGCTTTCTTTGTGCATGTCCATGCGGCATGTCCATGCGGAAATGTCTTCCATGTGGCTTGGCTGAGAAACGGGCTGATATAGAAGCGGACGCGGCGACCTTCGACAAACAGGTTGAAAAACGAAGTACTACACTGGGAGCAATGGTGCGGGATAGTTCAGCTGGACTCCAAATGGTTCATTGGTCAAATGGTTCATGGCAGAGTCCTAGCTGGCCAGAGCTCAGGAGCCAACAAAATGGGGAAACATGTGTGTGAGGGCACTCTTGCTGCCTATGAAGGCTGATACTCTGATTCGTAAATGTATATCTTCCTGTCCTAACATTTGTCCCTGTCTTCTCTTTGTATGCTTCCTCCGTTGGGTTCCAATGACTTCTGGCAACTTTTCCTCTACAGGATCTACACTTAGTTTCTTCATTTCCAGCGCGTGCCTTTAAAAACAACCTCCTCCTTGCATCCAATGCCGACCTGCTTCCCTTTGCCACTGCACGTGTGTATGCTGGCACAATCTGCCTGTAAAAGTTGCATACACTCAGTGCATACTAGCTCGACGTATGCAGCGAGTTTATCATGTATGTCTTGGATAGAGCACCAAAGGTGGATCTCAGGGGGGGTTAGCGGCTAGCATATATATATATATTTATTTTGTTTAAATTTATATATGTGTATAGCTGTTGACTGACATGTCGTCTTGTTATAGGAAGAACACAATGCATACATATATTATATATATTTTATACATATAGCTGCGGCACTCTGATTCGCACAAGGCATCTCAATTAGCTGTTAACATGCTAACCTGCTAAGGGACCTGAGACTTGGGAAACTTAAATCATCAGGCCATGCGCATCAGCAGCAAGCCCAACATCAGCTTGGTCGCTCGTAGCATTGGGCATAGCAGCGCTGGTGGCTGCAATTCTCCTTGGCTACCGCATGATGTACTCGGCCCCAACCTCACAACCGCCGAGGGCACCTCGTCGAGGGAGGCTTTCACACTCCTTTGAGTTTCCCAGGCCTAGAATGTACAGCTTGCAGAGCTGCGGGAAGCCCATGCTAACACACACAAACACAGATATATATATATATATACATGCACGAAGAGGTTTTCAGGTGTTGCCCTTCTTGGAGGTGAACCATGCCTGTGCAGGTTGATTCATTATTGTTCAGTCTTGAACTTCAATTGTCCAAGGTGAAGAGCCTTTTGCAGAAGCTTCTTGCTTTGCAGGGCCCTGTGCTCCTTCAAATGGCACAGCTCTGGGGTGTTTTGAGCCGATTAGGCCGTCGGGGCAGTCGACAAGGCCTTCGGGAGATTCCATACATGGACGCTTGGTGGTCAGTTTGGCGTGCGTGCGACGCCCGGCGCACGAGCAGCCCTTCCGTTTTCGGGCACGAGACGCGGACGTGGAGACCGATTTGCATACGGTCACGGTGCGTGTGTGTGACAACCAGGCATTGAAGGATGTTCAAAAAAAGGTCCCTGAATCGAAGGGTAACCAGTGAAACGCACCTATTTCCACTGGCTATCTCAGCGATGGGGGGGGCTGAAGACGCACCAACTCACCCTCGGTGATACCAATACAGCGACAAGCAACCGCAACGACGTGAAAAACTCACTCACCCGACCAAAACCATCACCACCGCCATGTTTTTTCTCATCATGAGGAACTTTCAAAGTCTATAAACAAAAAGAGCCAACACAAAGAACAACCAGTCGCCCTAGTCCCCGAGAATGCAACTGGACACGTCACCCCCGCCTTGACCATACTTGAAGTTTTCAGACGTTGAGCCTTCCAGCCACAGCACCTGTACCGACTACAAAACGGTTTGGGCGGTGGGTGTGTGCTTGCTGGATCTAGAAGAGAACCTGTTGAAAGGGGCCAATGTGCGACTTTCGAAGAGAGCACCTTCAGGAGTCATTGCATGTTGCTCGTGCCAACTCTCATGACACCTCCCACGGACCTGGCCTTCAGGGTGTTCTGCTTTCTTCATTTCACCTAACTTCCACCTTCTTTAGACACAAGTCACATGGTACCATAGGATCCATAGGTAAGATTTACTTTTTTGCTGGGCATGAACGGCCACAAATATTGATTTATTTCATGCATGAACGATATCCAGCTACAGCTATATACCGTACACCTTTTCTTCCCACTTGAGCCCAGGAAGCTTTGCAACTGACGGCGACGGAAGTCCAAAACTCATTAAACTTGCAATGCAGCTTCGACGCCGAAATGGTGCGAACCATGACGGCTCTCAGTTCTCCGTTGACGCCGCTGCTGTTGCGACCTGGCAAGTTGTGGTGGTTCCTGGCGGTGGGCAGCCAGAAGAACACTGGTCCAGACTCAAGCATATGGACCCCCAAATAGATAGAAAAGTAAAGCCACTTTGTATTGGACATCATTGAGAGAGAGGCCTTTATACATCATCCACTGTTTTTGGTGATGGGATCAATACATACCTGCCGTGCAGCGGGTGCACCGTGCTAAGGTTGATTTGCTGCAGTGCTTTGGAGTACTTTCGTGCTGGTTTGGGCGTCGACTTGGCTTGATTGGACACGCATGTTTTCTGCTGCCGATCAACACATGCCAACCAACACATGCATCAATGTAATGTACCGTGCTTGGTGGTGTTCGTGTGCTTCTGATTGAAGGTTGAGCGTCGCTAAAAGGTTTCCCAAACACTCCCTGCATAAAGACAAACACGTCACATAGCGTTCCAAAGTCCAAATTCAGAAGGTCAAACCATGTGCAGAGTCGTAGATTCCCCAGAATTCTCCAACGAAACCGGACAGACTCCAGATGCAGATGGTCAATCGTGTTTTTGCTGTTGCGTTGGAGGTCAACATGGCGTTGAGGACGCTGACACTCCTATTCATTGGGGGTGCTTCCAGTACGGCAGAGCTGCTCAGTTGCCAAGCAGAGGATGGAGGCGCAGCGAATGCCTCCCACTACCCAAGCCATGCAAAATACGAGTGAAACACACTTCTTTGACCCGCCAATGTCATGATTGCAATTATTGGTAAATAATCTTCAGGGAAGAGGAGAAGAGTGAGTTTCAAACACGATATGTTCATTTGCATTCATGTCAGCAATACCTAGGTGTTGCATCACACGCACACACACACACACACACACTCCATGTTTGGTTCGTTTGGGCCAATTTGCTCCGCATCATTGAGATGCACTTGTTTAGCCCTTTCGTTTTCAGCAGCGTTCAAAACCTCCATAAAGGAAAGACGAATTACAAGGCTAAGACGAAACGGTTTTGACCTCCGCTCACTTGGCAGATGGTGAGAGCCTTGAAGACTTTGCTTTTCGCAAAGCTTTCCGTCATTTGCGCTGCTCTGATCACGATGGAGTTGCCTTCTGGATTGACGCAGTCGGCTGTGGCTGTGCTGTGGCCTACGGTGTGTTGATCCCGCTCCTCCTCGCGCTTAAGATGCAATTAGCATGTGCAACAAAGGTTCCACAGGCACTTGTTGGAAATGGCAGAACCTGTTGTGAAGTATGTGAAGCTACTTTGCCTTCAAGACCGGCTAGATTCGGGTAGACACCTGAACTTTGCTTGGCTAACGGCTAACATAGCTTTTATGGTTGATTCAGTCTTGGTCGGTGCAATTGAGGCTGGCCTCATGATGAAGCAGCATTTTGGCAAGATTTTGTTTGCGGACTCGAGATGGTAAAGACCTTTTTGCAATATGTTGTGGTGCAAACAGACGCCAAATGCCACCCCACTTGACGATAAGTAGACAGTTGCAGAACTATGTCAACAATGTGTTTTGTTGTAGCCACATGGGCTACAGCTGTAATATGTTGTTGTATAGTTATACTGCTTTGCGTGTATAAGTTGTGTGTCAATGTTGCATTGTTTGTTGTTGGTCATGCGAGATATAAGTGACTAGGTTTGGAAGAGAAACTCACACAATAATGGAGAAACACATGGACAAACTTAACAAAATACTTTGAACGGGTGAATTTCCAATTTTGTCACCGGTCACACCTGAAAATAAACCTTGGAAATCTCCAGAACAAAGACAGATCGATCAAACCGAGACACATGTGGGTCCTTTCCGCAAGTTGAACTGGGAAACATGTGAGCATATGTTTCTTGTTTGTGTGCTTGGATTCCAATTCAGGTTCTTTCTCAAAACGACTGCTGGATCCGGAATTCTGCCGCCAAAACGGGCCTTGGACCGGGTCGGTTCCAAACGCTCCCTGACACTCCAGCTGCGTGCTTCCGTGACCATTTGAGTATTGAATTGGCAGTTCGCCATAAGCCCAGAGCTTCTCGAGAGCTACCGTTTGAGGTATTTTGCGCTTCGTGAAGCTCGGCTTTGTTATGCCCATGTAGAAGAAGAGCCTCGACGAACCACGTTGCAGATCAACACCCTGCGAGGACAGCTAGCAAAGGAGGTCCTTCCTGGACGTTTGCTGGTGGCTGAGCTTTGCGTTAGCACTGTTTTGGGTCTTTAGGCGCATTTATGTAGCTGCTTTTGGAAGGGGGCACAGCGGCATTCAATTTTCCGTATGGCTCCCCGTCACAGATAAACAGCTAGGCCAGCTAGGCTAGTAGGGCCATTAGGTTCTGTGAGAATTGGTAATTAGGCTTGCCCGCGTGTAACAAAGTCAAAAAAATCACTTTGCAATTCCAGTGCCCCTGCTAGCTGACAGGTCCACCAACTTATTGACTTAAGAGCTGCAAGTGATTTCAACCTTTAGAAATGACATGTTGACTCATCTTCGGTCCCACTACGAGCCACCCAGTCAGCTCATTGAACGTGGTCACTTATAGGGTGACTTGAGACAGTTTTTTGTAAAATTCATTGCCATGTTTCCCATTTCGACTGCATTTAAGGGAATCGCCTCAGTAAGGATAGGGCAGAACAGGCCCTCCCCTTGAGGTCGGAAGCGCTACCGACCTCAGTAAGGATGGGGCAAATATGCCCTCCCCTTACCGAGGTGATTCCTTTACATGCACGTCCGGCATAATTTATTGGAGTCCAAGTCCAACATGTTTTACCAAAAATGGTTTGCAATGAGTCTTTTGGCTTTCAGCAGTGGTGAACGTGGGAAGGTTCCCAACTGGAACTTCCAAGTTTATCTCCCATGGAAACTTAATTAACAGTGACCACATTGCACTCCAAGTGCTGAGAAGTCAACTTCTGTGAAGTTTTGCAAAAATGCCTCCCAAAGGCAAATGACTTTTTGACTCTCTTAAATGCACCCCAGTAGGTTTTGACACTCGCAGGTTTCCGCTAGAGTTGTTTGTTTAAGAAGTGTTGTGTTTCTTTAGTCAGGCAGCTGCGGCAGCCCACTTGGCAGTTCATTGCCGCGGAAGACGGCATGTGCAGCTGCAGGAGGAATACGTCATCATAACATCAGAGGGGCCAGTCGAGAAGGCGGAAGAGTTGGATGCTATGAAATTGGTGGCCGATGATGACACATCCAGAGACTTGGATACGTTGCTGGGATGAAACATCCAAGGCCCAGCTATACACGAAGTCGGAGACTGTGAGTTTACGATGTTTGCACGCCTCACATGGGCAGTACCCAATAATATATCCAATAGGTACATTACTATAATCATTTACATATATAGATCTTTATAATCAGTTTTGCTCCAAAGTCATTGAACCCCTCCAGTCACAGGCTAAGAAGCCGCAAGATTGCCGAGATGTTGACCGAGCGCACGATGGTTGCAGAGTCCTCCGATCGGTGGCTTCAAGGCGCTCAACCGCTTTTGTTCAAGTATGCCGTTGCCCAGGAGCGGCGCGGTGCGGTTCGCTGTGATGGGATGTCCCAGGGCCGCAAGAGGAATGATTTCGGCGTCGAATGGCTATTGATATGATGTGCATCGACTAGATCATACCCAGTGAGCAACATTTACAGCCGTGTTGATATCACCCACTGCTTGGGAGCATGTGGGCCCCGAAAGACGGCCAAACGCACTCAATGTGTTCACGAAGATCTCAGCGGCTTTGATGTCAGAGATGTCATCAGCTCCATGCGAACTCATGCGCTCCAGAGATCATCTCAGCATCCAACTTGTGGAGTTTGATTGTGTTTCTTTACGCAGGACATTTGGACGGACGTGCTTATGAAGCTGTATGCTGTTGCACTGGTCTCCTGTGTGTCCATGATGGACGCATGGAAATGGGCAGTGGCCTTCAGCTTGGGAATCTCGCAGTTGTTGGATATTTTCCTGAGTTTAAGAGACACCTTACCGTACCGTTTCCAGGAAAGCCTTATAGCTTTCCCTCCCAAGTATGGTCACAAAAATCTGTATGAAACTATCGTTACTGGATATTTCTCGCATCAACACTAGGAAAACATGTTGGATTCTTTTGCATTGTCACATCGCGGTGGTGCTTGCTGCCTCCGAGGTGTGGCGGTTCTGGTTGGTGTCTACCAGCCATACATGCAGCCGCAGGCGGGCACCTTCCGGATGCACAATGACTCAATGACTATATCATATATAGGTATCGGTATGACCCCTTTTGGTTTGTTATGGTAAACGGTAAACATGTGAAAGAACACCCAAACACCCAACAGCGGGGTCAATAACCGTCCAAATTTGGAGTCCACCCTCTTCATTACGATTTGCTGTCGTTTGTTGGCCACAGGCATATATTTTAGGGACGAATCTATTAAGACACGTGTGTAGTGCAGGAGCAGATGTTATTTTGGGGTTCAGCTGGTTCCAACCAGACGCAGGCTGTCAGGAAGAGCCGTGATTCACAACTCATCGCAGGTGAGCCATTTGCAGAGCCTGAGCTGCTTTGCCTTAGCCGTGACTTCTGTGGCTTTTGTGTATGACCTCCGTTGGTTGGCGAGGGTGGCATTGCTGTCGCCAGTGCTGCTGCTGCTATGGCAGGCGCCACCGATGAATAGCTTTTTGTCACATGGGCAGTGAAGATATACACCCGGGAAGATTACTGTAACATGGAACCTGAAAATGGACCTTTGGAAGACTATGTTCCTCTACAACTCTGTTGTTTTCAGGTTCCATCTTAATCTTCCAGGGTGTAGATATAACGGTTCTCTAGTTGTTCTTTGTTTTGAGCGAACGAAGGCTTTGCGCCTTGGCCTGACTTCCGATCCTTCGCACAGAATGGTCATGCATTTTCCCACTGGCCAGTTGCCCGACAGCTCGTCCAGTTAAAAGAACTTCTCCAACTGGCCTTTGCAATCTGAACGTGGGTCAATCGACACACAACAACTCCTGCAGCCCGCGCCAGGCACGTTGCCCAGACTGCACAGAGGCGTTGGCCGAACGCATCTACCAGGCACGGTCGGCCCCTGAAGATCCGGGCCCAAAGGGACGAGCTGTGATTGACCCAGCTGAGGCTACTCTTGGATGGGGAAAGGGGTTCAGTACACTTATGCTTCCGCATGCAGTACTGTAACAGTTGAACTGACTGTCTCCAACAGTGTTACTTCAGGACTGTAACATTGGATGGGGACTTTCTGGTTGTCAACCATCGCCCAACCCTAAGCCCAAATGGAATTGATGTTGAATTGACTTTGACTCTTCACATGTTCGTAGCTTTAGGCCTCCCAGTTGTTGACTTTCAAGCTTCTAAGATCGACCGAAACCTCTGATCAGCGTTGCAAGCGAGGTTCTTGTGGAAGCTGGCGAGGCTCCCATGCATGTCTTCCAAAGACAAATGCCCTTCCATCCTCCCTCTAGGAGTTACAGGCGGAACTACCAAAGTTGCAGCGGCTGGAGGCGCACGAAGTCCATGTGCAGCTCTTACGGCTGTAGCTCGCGCCACAGACTTCCAGCATCGCACTGGAGCCGCGGTGTGGGATCCAGATGAATCAAACTCAAGTTCGAGAGTCGGTGATAGCTGCATTTTCATCTATCACATATCTGACCAGTGCCTGGTGGCCGAGCCGAACGCAGCTGAAAAGGTCTGAGTGCGGAAGTCTTTTCAGTGATTCCAAACAAAAGCCTGAGTCGCCGTTACACCACCGCATGTATGCCTTTTCATGAAGCAGCCGGGAAACTTAGGATTTTCATGAAGCAGCCGGTGACCCCTGCAATGTCATACCGAACCAGATTTCTTAGTGTCCAAATCACCCCGCCGTTGAGCCGTAGGTTTAGACGACTCCGCACTGGCATGTCCAGACGTTCACCGTCCCAACGGCCGCGAGTGTGCGTCGCTGTTGCGACTCCTTCACTCCGAGTCACTGTAGTCTTGCCTCAGCATGTGTTCTCAGGCTTGACTTGGAGTCTAAGTTCACTGATGTTCACACCAAAAAGCAGTTGTCCCATGTAGACCCGTGGAGCCAACCTCTGGACCCAACCAAGAGATGTTCTTTTCCGCCTCACCGCCCGTCCTCTCCCAGGCCGTCGTCCTGTCCGGCGCTCCGGACTGGCGGCAGCTCCCGCCGCTGCAGAGCGTGCGAATCGACGCGGTGGGCGCGACAGAAAAGGTGAGTCCGGACTCCGCGAAGGTGGAGGGCTTGAAAAGAACAACCAAATGAGGTCCAGGTACCACAACCGTACCGAGAAGACAAGTCCGTCTCATTGGTCAAGTCCGGACATGGCAAGAGTCTGCAAATAAGGCGGATTGCCGGGCTTGGCGTTTTCTTGCACGCTTTGCACGCACTGCCGGCAGGCAGGCATATGCAGGCAGTTGATGATGTTCTCACGTTTCCAGAAGGCCAACAGTTGGTTTCGTGGAACATCGAATGGCACACATAGTTTGGTTATCGATGCTCAGGGGCCAGTTCATGGTTTCAGAGAGTCATTTTTTCGGCTACACCCTGGAAAATGCATCTATACTGACTGTATACTATCTTAACATGGAACCTCATGGCATGCTGCAGACCTTACCACCTACGAAAGACTCCTCTACCACCGGCGGGGGCACGTTGGTTCCGTCCCGTCCGGGACTGCTCGCGGGACCGCGGAACCGTCGCCGGCTGCGTCCGAGGCAGTTCCAGACGAAGAACGAACGCTGGGCCAACCGAGCCGAAGCGGCCAGCCAGTGGCGCCAGTTCCGAGGACGCACGTCACGGGACGGACCCAGGGGACGTCACGGGTGGAGCGGGGGGAGAAGAGGACCCGGTGGGTGGAAGCCGAAGCCGGCATACCCGCAGATACCAAAAGAATCAAGTCATATAGGGCACAAAGATACCAAAGATTCGAGGTACTCGCAGTCCATGAACACCACTTTCCGACAGATCCACACAAAACCATACGCCCCTGCAGATCAACTGGAACCCCCAAGTTTTTTAAAAACCGCTGGGTTGTAAGAGGTTCCACGGCAATTCTCAGGTTCCATGTTATTCCATGTTAGTTTGGGTGGTAGCCTGACTTGGGGACAGAATCGGTGGCTTTCTTGGGCTCAACCTCATCCGAGTCCTATGTTTCCTGCTTCTCCGAACATGCACGCCGTATAATATAGGAGCGTAGTGGGATTGGACACTTCCCGCCTAAAAGCAGCCTTCGAAAACTAGAGACGGTGTATGCACTTGCTTGTGGTAGGGAGACCCAGAACAGTTTTCCTTTTTATCCAGGTGGTTTCTTGGCTGGTCTTCAGATTTCAATACGCATGACATATGATTTGGATATTGCTTTTTTGGAGCATCTCAATTCAGAGCGTGAGCCCAAATCTACCGCCAGTTGAGTCGGATGAGCCAATTCCTTTGTGTTGCTGGAGATGGCATTCCTCCGACCAGAACACCCCTTGACCGTTCTGAGAGCAGGTCGAGCTTCCGCAGCTAGCAGCTAGCCCGGTTCTATATATAGATCCAATGATTGTAAAATATATTATTATATTAAGATATATTAAGATCCCACGGGGAAAGTTGGACTTCACTTTTCAATCTCCCGGACTGCGCCTTGCGCCGCGCCAGCCCAGCGGAAGTTCGACCGCTGCGCCAGCGAAGCGGCCCTGTATGACCAGCGCATGAAGGACTTCGATGCCTGGTAGGGACCTCAGAAGCGTGCAGACACGTCCTGAGGTGTTCAAGGACTGGGGCGCTAGGTGCTCGACGAATTTCTTGCCAGCCTAGACCTGCAAGACCAATCGTGTTACAGAGACCCTGAGTGGTCACCCTCTCTCCCTTTCAGGGCCAATGCCATTGAGACCTGGGATTTGTTGGAATGATCAGCTTATAGGAATTGTCAAATGAGACATAGTCGCCCAGGAGGAAGGGTTCGCAAGCTGGGTTTCCAGTGACATGATGTTCGATGTGAGTACTCGGATATTGATTGATATATTTATGAACTGCGCAGGACCACCTGCCACGACTCCATCAAATCACATTTCACCAGAAAGGCTCTTGAATTCTAGACTCATGACCCACAAAGTTTTGTTGGAAGCATGAATTTGCTTTGAGGATGTGTTCAGCCTTTCCATTCACTAGGAGGCCTCTCTCATTGAACCATCGAGCTTCGTATCAATTACACCCAACGAGTTCACCGGAATCTTCGATCGTCTCCACGAGGCGCGAGAACGTCATCGCAGCGCCCCACGCCGAATTCCAAAAGCCGGGACGCTCAGCCGCGGGCACCAAGCATCTGTTGACACGTTCGGAAAACAAACGTCAGAGGGGCTATTTTAGATGCACATAGACTTCCTTTTGGTGGTATGTCGACACACCTATCAATTCCGTGTTTGACCCTAGGCATGATATTTAGAAAGGCGCATATTTCGAGACTACATCTATTTCGAGACTACATCGAGGTGCGAACTGCGGGTTTAAAACCCTCAGCAACAAGCAAGGAAAGGTGAGATTTGGACCACGTGTGGCAAACTCCTGCAAGCGTAGATAGAAGGAACGGGTCAGTTCATGTTTAGACAAAGGCCTCCCTGCACCTAAGAAACGCTGAAAGCCCCATCTATCAAATACAAGCATAGATGAAACTACAAGCAGAACGCTTTCAAGCCTTGTCATGATAGACCATCCATTGCTGGAGTGGACCGTTTTCAGGACCACTGAGTGGCTGGCCTCACAGAAAGGCTACTCGCAGGCGTCCGCGGAGTGGTCGGCCAGTGTCACTAGTGTTCCTTCGGAAAGGCCGAATGGGTGGGGCTCTTGCGCATTGTGCCATGCAAAGCTGCAAACATTGAGCCTGTTGGACACTGGAGATGGGAAAAAAAAGACAACATGTAACATATTGTAACATTAGCGCATTGATTAGGGGGTGTTCTATGGGCTGAAGGATCATTTAGCATTGGTTTCTCCTTTGCTCGATCCGATCTTCTAGACAACTGCAGGTTTTGTCAGTTCGTTTCGGATTTGCCTGCAGCTTTTGCCGGTTTTCTGCGGTGATCACCCTTACCCGTTCCCACAAAGGCTTTGGTGCGACTGTGCCAGGTGGATGTGGATCGCTACTGGAACCAGCATCTGAGCTAGTCAGGCGGGGATGGGGGGCACCTTCGCTGCGATCGACCAAGGCTGATCCCACTGCGGCACTCGGCCAGAATGGAATGCTTTTGATCCAGGACTAGTGGTGACCACTCTGCTGGACAGCTTCTGCGCCAGGTTGGCACATCTACTCTGCAACTCCTGTGTATGGCGTTGACTTGGCCAGATGTCTGAGCTTCTTTGGAGCTGGGCCCTAGGTGCCAGGACGGCTCGGTTGCTTAGACTTCTCCACCTCCAAAAGTGCCTTTAGCCAGTGGAAGTTCTCAAGTTCTGAGGTCGGACCCAAATCACAAAGTGTCAAGTTGATGTCGTTTTCATCTCCCTATCTCTGAGTCTCACGTGTCTTCTTTGTGGCTTCTCTTGGCACCGGGCAGTGCCAAGCGGCGCGTTACAGCCGTGGCAGGACATAGAGCGTTCAAGATGCATGTTGCACGGAACTCGTTGCTCTTCAATGATTCTCTTGTCATATATTTTCATGCGTACATGCACATGCTTTTTTTTCCAGCCTCTCTTCTTGTTCAGGTGTCTTCTTCGCTGTTCTGGTGTTCTGTTGTTGGACAACGGCTGCTGGGCCTGAGCTGTTCTGATGGTGGTTGTGCCATTAGGAGGGATGCTGGGCCAGGCTGTTGCCATTGATGTTGAAATCATGGACTCCTTGGCGGCTTATTGCTGTTTGACCTCGGCCGTTATCTATGGGTTTGCGCCTGTACCTGCTTTGAGAGATGATTTGCCATTGGCGCAAGATGATTTGCGCAAGGATGATGTGCCATGTGGCCCACAAGGGCCCAGAGATGCGGTGTGTGCCGGGATCTTTCATGTGCCCGTGACACGAGGCAAAAGTAGCTGCCCCCCTTTAGTGACTGACACAGAACCACGTGCAACTGCGCATAGGTGATCATAGGTGCACACTCCAAAAAACCGTTTGATGCTGTAATTTGTGAGCAGTCAATACCCAGAACCTGTTGATCTTCTTGTTTTGATTGAGCTTCCTGTCGTCGTGTTTGTTGTTGTTGCTTGACGTCGCAGGTGACGAAACTGCTCCTGCGGGAGAGTGGATGAGAGTGGATTTGTTTCACGGCATTTCACCATATGAGGAAGCGAATCGGGGTTGAACCTGCGTCAGCGAAGGCTGATGGGTGAAAGCAGCCTTCAATGCCCAAATCTCCAGGACATATATACATGTTCTGTGGTTTGTTGGAGTGTGCGTCAGAACAACCGCCAAAGTCCCGGGGGGTCGACAATCAGCCAAAAGTCCTGTTTTTGTGTTGTTCCCCGATTCTTTGTCCTGGTTTGTGTTCAAGAGATGGGAGGATACCTTTTAGGACTGAGCTGGGCAGGGCATGAACGGAAGGCCCCTGAACTTTCGTCATCCAAACGACGAAAGATCTCAGTCATAACGATGATCCTGAGTTTGGGCACGGCAGAATACAGCAGAACATAGAAGAACTCACAACATATCAGCGTGTTTTTGAAGAACTAACGACGGAAAGAGGGTCAAGACGAATGGAAGGGCTCACCTTAGTCGCCTGTGGAGGGTCGTATTTGTCGCTGAAGACGTGGACGGATGAACGCTGGCCGTGAAAACGGTATTTTGCATATCTCCGGGTCGTCGTGTTTTCCTCCCATTTGTGGACACGCACGCTTTCGCATGGCGGTCTACCCCGAACTGGCTTGGACCCGGGCAACTCGGGCTGTCAGTTTCGCGAGACACGTGCAGATGGGCAAGAAAGAGGTGTTCGTTTTTGAGTCTGTACGGGTGTTTGCGAGTCACTCGACCTTGGAACCAGCTGATACCTAGAACCTCGTTAGGCAATAATTTCCGCCCAACGCCATTTAGGCAGAAAATTCAGCCCGTTTTTGCAAAGAACGCCTAAGCTGCAGCCTCGAGGGTCAAAAACGCCGAGGCACAATCACATGCATTCTTACATGCAGGAGGCAGAGCCACAATTTGAATGAACAAAATTGAGAAAACAAACGCCTGCCACTTGACGCTAATCCCCAGTCTAAAGTTATTGAAACTCATGTCGCTCACTTCCCCCAAAAGGCTACCATTCCGTTGTCCGCCCAACTACTGATTGTTGTGAGGGGGGAACGGGCAAGAACGCCTAAGTAACGGGCAAGAACGCCCAAGTAACGGGTAAGAACGCCTAAGTGACGGGAAGCAAAAAGATATTAAAGCAATGAATCAAAACATTGAAAAACTAAAAACATACAAAAAATATCACAAGAGAAACATTAAGTGAATTCCTGACAAACAAATGTACCTCACTATGAAAGTTCCTGGAATCAGTGGTGGGTGGATCCTCATCTATTCCAAAAGGACAAGAACGCCCAAAGGGGGCAAGAAGGCCTACAGGGGGCAAGAACGCCTAAGCACGAGCAAAGTCGCCTTTACCCATAATAGGCATGAAATTTCTGCCCAAGAAGAGGTTATAGGTATATGTGTTGATAAAGTTGACAGCACCCCTATAGAGAATGAAACCACCGTTTTGGGATTGCGCCAGGAGCCGTTCGTTTTCTTCAAGGGTGGCCGGTTTGGGAATGAGTGGGTTCGCTGCAGTGCCACTCCCTGTAATCGGATGCGGATGGCATGGGCCCCGATGGATGACCAGCTTCCGACCAACAAACAGCTTTTCCACGTCACTGGTCGCAGTGACTCGGGGTGTATCAATCACGCCCTATTGGAGTGAAAGGCCTCATCGAAGATCATCGAACTCTGAAGCATCGAACTCTGGTCGCAGTGGATCCGGAATCCCCCAAAAAGCCCTAGGCCCTATAGATCATCCCCTCCATCGACAGCTGTGAAATGCCGTGACTTGGAGGGGTTCAGTTCTTGCTGATGTCCAGGCAAAGTGCCAACCATCCCAGGAGTATCATGAAGTGTTGTGTTTGCACATTGACCTGGGCTTTGTATCCAGAATTTACTGTATGCCTTTGGCAGGCCCAAGCTTCTCAGCTTCAATGGATGCGCCTGATTTGGAATTGGCCGTAGAAATCTGAGATTCACGAGGCTAACAATGAAACTTCATGCTCATGGGAGGGGGGATCATGAATGTCATGTGTTCCCAAAATGCTTCATGCCCCACAAAGACCACACTTGGCCAACACCTGAGGCCCCCTGATGGATATGGTTGAATTGCCGCGGGCGTTGTGCACACGTGTGACTCGTTGCGTTGCATTTGGGCCCCAAAATCAGGGGAGGCAGACAGCAACAAGGATATACAAGGATAACCACTGCATTTTCGGTGCTTGAACGATTTTGATGCAGCTGAAGTTATGTTCTTTATTTGGAGTTTGGACGCCCTCTCACCCAGACTGATCTGCCAATGAGCTAGCAGCTATCTCATAGAATCAAACATGAAAGGATTTGTTTGCACTGGCAACTGGCAACTCGCATCATCCCCAACAGGCAGCTCTCGAACCATAGCAAACAGTGAACCAGTCTGGCCTTCTTCGGTTTTCCCTTCGCGGGTTGTGGATGACGCTCATGGCCTGAAGAGCCTGCAAAACCCTATGGCAGAGGCGGCGGCGGACTCGCCTCGCATTTTGGAACGGACGACCTGACAGTCACAGGTTTTGACCCGTTTGTTCCACTCGAGTTCTGGTGGTTTTTTCACCACGGGCTGGGGCTTTTGGGTGAAGCGCTTCGATGAAAACCAGGAGACGCGACGCG